GGTTAATCCTAAATCCTGGTTGCAAAAATACGCCCTGGAACCAGGGTGGATTTGATTTAAAATCAACTCAATTTAAATCACTAGTGAAAAGGCTTGCTTTAAATCAACTCCATTTAAATCATATTTTTTAAAGCGCAACTGTCATCTCTGTCCCTCTGGGGCTCCAGTGCCAATATTGCAGAATATGCAATAATCATGCTACATACAACTTAAGCTCCAGTTCATGCTGAATAAACTAAATGTATCTTAAATAGAAAACTATATTTAGATAATTTTTTTTCACTCCAAAAGCATTTTATTAAAATAAATTTGATCAAAGTCAAAAACGTTCGATTTAAATAAATAAAAATCCAATTTGAATTTTAAGAATCTGATTTTTTTAAAAAAAAAAATTGTGGATTTTTATTCTGGAACAAAGTCACATGAACTCAGAGTACCCCCAAAATCACGTCCATTTGGCTGCTCGGAAAGAACAAAATCTATACCATTAATAATTGGGCACCAGAAGGAGGAAGTTTATGTGGCCACTATGTAGGAAATTAGAATATGTATGTTCACTATGCAAGCTCTTAAACAGGGGGGACAGCTTTGGTCTGCAAGAGCTTCAGTGAATAATCAATTTATTGATCAAATCAGGGACAAATAACCTACAGCTCTTAAGACGGAAGGCAGGTTTTGGTCTGATTTCAATATCCCTGTGCAAGCGAATCAGTTCAGATCTCAGATCTGCTCCTTGTCCCAAAGCTTCCTAAATACAGAGGGAGAAAGAAAGCAGGAAGGAAGGAAGGAAGGAAGGAAGAAGGCATGGCATAAGAAAGATCAAGGAACTCGTGGCTCATCTTTTCATTGTGGTTTTGCTCGGCACCTTTTGCTGAAATGGAGCCTGAATGAGCCACCCACAATTCAAGGATTGTGATGCCCAGTTGCACACTGATGACATAGAAGAGTGGGTGTTTTTGTCTTGTTCTCCTTTCCCCCACCTCAAATGTGTTGTTAGATAACCCTTTATTTGGGCATGCATGTAGAAATGATGCATTTGCTACAGGGAATCCTCAATGTAAAGACCACATTTGGGACCAGAATTTCCATTGCTAAGCAAAACAGTCATTAAGTGAATTGTGCCCGATTTATGATTTCTATTGCCATGGGGATTTTTAGCTGGATCATGTGATCATTAAGCCAAGTCTAGCTTCCCCCATTAATTTGGCCCATTGGAAGCCAGCTGGGAAAAACAGTGATGGCATTTATCTATTGATTTAATAGGCCACACATCTCACTGTTGAAGCAACTCCAGGCATCTTACAAAACAAGAAGATAACACCAAATGCCCCAAAGGTGCTTTTTTTCAAGACTTTCTGATTTTTCTTTTCATCCAAGAAGCTTCTTCAGCTCAGTCGGAGCTGAAGAAGCTTCTTGGATGAGAAGCGAAACGTCTTGAAAGAAAAAACTAGAAAGTCCAGTTAAGTCTTGAAAAAGCACCTTTGGGACAACCATGACCTGGAGGACTGAGAATCCCCATAGACATAATACAAAATGATTTAACGTTAAGGAAGATTAAATAACCAAGAGACAATTCTGGGAGTTGAATTCCTCCAGGCTTAACGTTGCCAAGGTTGGAGAGCCTTGTTCTCAAATATTCCTTCTTTGCTCCAGCACACACCTTGACCAATTCGGTGGTCCCTTCTTCTTTGAAGAACCATTCAGTAAAGGCCTCGGCCTCTGTTTCACTGCGCTTCTTGCATGAGATACAACGGATCTTGAAAGTATGGCCAACTACAGCCTCTGTTTCTGCATCCACCTCCACGCAGCCACCTTGGCACAAGGTCACTGAAAGAGGAGAAATCGGAAAAAATTACAATCCAGTGGTATCAAAACTCCCATCTCCAGCTTTTACATTCCATCTCTCTCTCCCTCTCTCGCTCTCTCTCTTTAAATATTTTAAAATATTTAAGGGAAAAAAATAAACGACTACAATTGTCATCAAATGTAACATTTATTACTTCATTGTTTAAATAATTAATGGAATATATAAAATTAGATTCCTTATATCATCTTAGGAAATAACGTACAGCAAATCACCACAACACTGCTCTAAACCTTAATACTTATACGGATATCACACTTCTCTGTCATCGTTCCTAAAATAAATGTCCATGTTCTTGTAAACAAAAATAGAGAAAAAGAAAAAAAAAGAACGAAAGGTGAAGAATAAATACTTTAAAAAAAAAACAGGATTGGTTTTAAATTCTTCCCATTGCACCCTACTGATTAAATCTGAATTATTATAAACATGCTAAACATAGTAAATCTTTTGCCCAGAGCCGAGGTGGCGCAGTGGTTAGGGTGCAGTACTGCAGGCCACTTCAGCTGACTGTTATCTGCAGTTCAGCGGTCCTAATCTCACTGGCTCAAGGTTGACTCAGCCTTCCATCCTTCCGAGGACCCAGACTGTGGGGGCGATATGCTGAC